GTTGTCTCTCTGCTGTCTTGTGCTGTCTTAAAATTTTAAAAAATAATGGACTCTTTCTGTTCCATTTTTAAAGGGAAATCAAACTTTAAACTATCATTTTATTTTCAAATCAACTCCCACTGTTAAACTACTGAGGTCATTTTAAAACCACAAAATATTGGCTTGCTTTTGACCTGCGAAAGGCAACTTAGTCTAACCTTGCCTTTAATCCCCTAAAAAGATATCATTCTAAACTCATAACTAACCATCTTATATAAATTGTATTCCTATTTATACTTTTAAATATAAAGTTTCAAAAATATTTCAAGTCAAGCATTTTACTCTCATTCAACTTTAATAATTGAACTTTGATTCCGAATTACTAAATAAATGGATTCTGTTTGGAATGGAGTGTAATTTATCACAGATGGAGTGATTTGGTCTTCAATAATGAAAATTGAACATTTCCCATGAAAATGATCATCATTGCTCCTGATGAGTTCATCTCAAGTGGACACTATAATAATATCCTTTAATAATGAAATAAGTTTAACGAAGCAAATTGTTTCCAGTTGTTTAATGTTATTATTTTGTAACAAGTCAAAAGTCGTAATAATCAAAGTTATCATCTTTTTTCATTCCTGATATTACATGACATTTTCCTCCCAAACATCATTATTACAGGTTAAATTACAATCTAGTTTCCCATTAATCCTCAAGCAAATAACCCTTTTCCATTTAATGTTCAACAAAAGAGTAAAAAGATTGAAGGAAAAAACTTATTGCAACAAAAACCCTTTGATAACATTTCATTGCCAGTGATGATTGATTGTTAAACTACACTTTTAGCCATTTGATTATTGGTTTCAAATAATCGGATGAATGACAGAAGATGCAACAAAAAATATGATAATGATAATCATGAACAAGGATCATCATTATTTATCATGAATGCACAAACAATAATGATATAGTTAACCATCCAAGAATATAATATTGATGATTACATTTCAATTTTTGATTTCATTTATTTTCTTGTAAACTCTTTCATTATTTGAATACAAAATGCATTCTTGCTTTGCCTTCCTTCAAACTTTTATGAAAACTGTGACTGATCAAGAATCATAATAAATGTAAAAATGTTTCTCCTCTCAAATACTTAATCTGCCAATATTGATAAATAAATATCAATATGAATATACAATTTGCTTGAAACCTTTGCATTCCGCAAATGCGATCTCATTATTCACAAAATCAAAGTAAAAATCAATCGAAATCAATCAATCAATTCGTGCAAAGTATGAGAGAGGATCCAATAGAGATTTGCCTCTTTACCGATTATTTAATTTAAATGGATGATATTAAAGGGTGTTGCGGATAAAAACTATAATTTATCTTACTTTAAATTTTGATAAAGATGACGATTTATTGATAATTAATTTGTTCATGTTTTTGTCTACGTTTGTTTCTTCTTCAATTTTGTTATCTTCATTGTTATCATGGTCATCGTCATCTTTATCAAAAATTAAGGTAAGATAAATTATAGTTTTTATCCGCAACACCCTTTATAATATTTATATCATTCAACTTTAAACTGGCCTTTCATGGTGATTCCGCCTCGTGAAATCGATTAAGATAGTGACTTTAAACTTGCCTTGTTCACCTAAATTCGGAATGAGATTTAGATTGAAAAGAAAATGTTTATTAACAATTTTCACAATTCGCTCTTCAGGGAGTGTGAAAATTATGACTAACAAAACGATTCTTAACTTTTTTTCTGTAAGAAAAACCACGATTTTTTAACATGATTGGCCAAATTTACATTGTAACACGAATCTGTTTTTCAATATCAAATCCTGCATGAGATTATTGTTTTGTAAGGCGAGTGAATTTATAAATTTCTTTTTTCTTTGTTTGCTTTCCTTATGGCTATTTCTGTTTTCATGCTCGAGTTCAGTCATTAAAAGGTTAACCTTATCAGGTGCAGGTTAACCTCGAAGACTTAACCTGTGCAGTTTAGCTCGACTCTTTATCAACAGCATTGTGTAAGTCATGATTTTTGGATAAATAACAGCTTACACCAGAAAAAATAGTCTAGCGATGATCTGAAACCAAATATTTTTTTTATTCTCACTTTCTTATTGGGTGCTCATGTTTTTGCCTGGTTTGCTTCATATTGTAAATGGCTTCATAACTTGTAAAGTAAACAGAAAATTTTGACCTTTAAGTGACCTGTTCAAACATACATTTACATGTATTTTGAATTTGCTTGAGACACTGATTTTCATATAAATGACCATTTAGATTTTAGTTAAAAGCTAAAATAAAACTGTCAAAACAAAACAATTCATTTAATAAAGTTCATTTACGACGATTTTGTACGATTTCTTTTGACTGTTTCTCGACTCCTCGACTCAGCAAACTCCAAATTTTCGATTAAATTTTTCAGAGATTCATTTGTCATATTTCAAAGTTGAGGTTATTCCGAGCTAGCTTTGAGCTTGCCTTAAACGCTCATTTCTGATCAACTGTCTTCAGTAAATGTTTTGTATTGCTCGTCCTCCTCGACAATGACAGGTTATTTGATTTATGACTCTTCGTTTTATATTTTTGTTAAGCCCTTTACCGGTGTCTTTCAGTCGCAAGGATTTAACAATTCCCATGAGAAGTTCCGTTGTGTGATGCTCATAATTGTTCGCTTGAAGTGCGATTTAAGAAATTTGGAAAAGTCGTTTGAAAGATATTCAATCTTTAATAATATGTTATTCAACCAAATAACCAAAATATTAGTCTCAAAAATTGGTTTCTGTCTATGAGAGCTTAACATGTATCAAAAAGAATTTTTCAAATATTTTTTTCTCTTCCGAGTTTGAGCGATGATTGTGGAGTGACCTTTGTTTTTTTTCATTCTGGATTGTCCAGATATCAAAGGTAAACTACTCAACTATAACAAGTTGAATTTTCAAAGGAATTCAGCCATTATCTTACGAGATATAACAAAAAAACCAAAAATTCCCAAACTTTTTCCCCACAGGTTATTTCCATGAAAAAAGGTCGCCTCATTAACATTAAAACTAACTTATGAATAGTAAAGACAAATGAGGAACCAAATAATAACCAAATGCTTATAATAACTTTTTTTCAACTGAAATCATTTTGATTGGACCAGCAATGAGAAGCTGTTCCAGTCTACTTTTGGCTTTGTTCACTTTTCCCGATTACTATACAGGGTTGTCAATATTATTTGACAGTTCAAATTAGTTATAAATCAATAATTAATTCACATACAGACATCAGTATTATATCAAAATGAAGCCTGTGATCAGGAGATTATTTAGGTGCTCGGTCAAAATGCGAATCGCCCTGCGCTAAGCAAGATTAAGCGCGTTTGTCCATTCTGTCCATAACTCTTCTCGACTCAGATAAACTGATAGTTACAAAACATGGTTGAATGAAAGTGTTGAGTTCAAATATCCTGACATTATTTACGGAATTTCCGCTTTTTGAAGGTACATAATTTGTAAACGCAACCATAATTTTCACCAGGTTCAAAACAAAAATTTGAATAATTGATCAACTCAATTCGATTAGTAGCGAAATTTTGCAAAAAACAAACCTTACTTAATCAATGATTAATCGGCGAAAAAATGGAATTTCAGACTCAAATTTATGCTTATCTTAATCTCCATATTTCAATTCATAAGTGGGTAAAAATTTAAGCAACTTAACAAAATACTCGTTAAGATATTTAATTTTTAAACTGTTCAAATAAATATTGACAACCCTGTATATACTATTATTTAATAATATATATTGAATTATTATAATATTAACCACAATTTATGAAGCTATTCATGTCTGCTCCTTACTTGACACAACTTACATCCAGTCCTACTTGAGACTCAACTATCAACTTTAAACAAACAAGAAAGAGGCTCGCCTTGCATCTTATTTTATCATTAACCATATATTTTACTATCATTGTTGTTAGTTTATTATCCTTCTAATGGCACCTTTAAGACACACAAACACACACTACATGTTAATATATTAGAGGATTTGATGTACAAATGTAAAGAGCTTCGTATCTTCTCTATTCAAGTGAACGTGTAAACTGGACTAAAGTGATGAGCAAATCATTCGGTTATATTGGTTTAAATTGTAACGATTCTTGCCTCTTATCTTTTATTACTATTCAATTGAATATTAACCTCAAGACCTGAAACGATGCTAATATTTACTTGATACTAATAATGTTATAATAAATAAGTTGACCATAAAAAGGATATGGAAAGCTTCTTAACGATTATTATCATAACTATCAACATAAAAATGAAAAATATGTGTTATTTACTGTTGAATAATGGCTACTGCAAGTAACATTGTCAAGTTGATTATGTTTTTGACTAGCCAAATATTAATAATTTGTTGTTCGGATGATTTACTGTGAAATACTTTTGAAATAATTTTGAATGATCCGCTGAGGAATAAAATTTCTTCCTATTCTGGTTCTTTTTTTTCAGATTAGGATAATTGGTCAATGAAAATGACAATTCTAACAACTTCTTTGTGCCTCTCAATTTAAAGTGAAAGTTAAAGTTAAGTAATTGACTTTAGTCATGCAATCGAAATGCTTGTAATTATCATGATAGTTTCCGTTTTTAATCTGTTAACTACACCAAGACCACCTTCATATTTTGTTGTCCAATTTAAATAATTTGCCAATTCAAGAAGCATTTGGATGGTTGTAAATATCAAGATTCACTAGTAAATATTATATCTGTAACAATCAAACATTTCTGAATGTTAAATGTTCATAATCAAAAGGATTTCATATTATTTCTTTCACATTGATCTATGCATAGCGATCCACAATAAATGGCGCTTTTCGAACCTTCAGTCCATTTGCTACTTAAAAGACGACGAACTATATTTTTGTTAATAAGATGAATTCAATTACAAATTAATCATTAAAACCGGTGCGGATGCCCTCAAGTACCTCCCTTGTTAGAAACGTATTCTTAAATTTTAAATTAAATGCTCTTTATTTTAATCTATGAGTACATAACACATAAGAGTAATGCAATTTATAATGTAATACAAATTTAAAACATAGAAACACTTAAAGTTGGAATTTTAGACATCATGGCTGGGATAATTCCTTGCTTAGCTGGACTTTTACCTGATTTCGAGCCCTTTCCAGATGCTGAGCTTGCTGCAGCTGAAGCTGATGCTGCTGAATTGCCTGGTCCATTTCCTTGTTTTGCTCCTTTTTTGGAATTTCCATTGCCAGCTGCCCCTGATGCTGCTGCGGCTGATGTAGCTGATGAAGCTGCTGATCCGTTTGAACCTTTACTGCCGCCATTGTTTTGCCCATTTCCTCTATTGCTGCCAGATCCTGCTGCTGAGCCAGAACTTGATCCTGAATTGTTCACTTTTTTACCACTACTGTTTGATGATGTTGCTGCCGAATTCGACCCAGAATTGTTACTTCCGTTGTTTTTCTTTGCGTTTGAACCTGATGCTGCTGCTGCTGATGCAGCTGCTGCACTTGATGATCCATTGTTACCGTTGTTGCCTCCGTTGTTGTCGCTACCGTTTGAAGCTGATGAACCTGATGATGCTGCTGCTGATGAAGCTGCTGCACTTGATGATCCATTGTTACCGTTGTTGCCTCCGTTGTTGTCGCTGCCGTTTGAAGCTGATGAACCTGATGCTGCTGCTGCTGATGAAGCTGCTGCACTTGATGATCCATTGTTACCGTTGTTGCCTCCGTTGTTGTCGCTACCGTTTGAAGCTGATGAACCTGATGCTGCTGCTGCTGATGAAGCTGCTGCACTTGATGATCCATTGTTACCGTTGTTGCCTCCGTTGTTGTCGCTACCGTTTGAAGCTGATGAACCTGATGATGCTGCTGCTGATGAAGCTGCTGCACTTGATGATCCATTGTTACCGTTGTTGCCTCCGTTGTTGTCGCTACCGTTTGAAGCTGATGAACCTGATGCTGCTGCTGCTGATGAAGCTGCTGCACTTGATGATCCATTGTTACCGTTGTTGCCTCCGTTGTTGTCGCTGCCGTGTGAAGCTGATGAACCTGATGCTGCTGCTGCTGATGAAGCTGCTGCACTTGATGATCCATTGTTACCGTTGGTGCCTCCGTTGTTGTCGCTACCGTTTGAAGCTGATGAACCTGATGCTGCTGCTGCTGATGAGCTGCTGCACTTGATGATCCATTGTTACCGGTTGTGGCCTCCGTTGTTGTCGCTACCGTTTGAAGCTGATGAACCTGATGCTGCTGCTGCTGATGAAGCTGCTGCACTTGATGATCCATTGTTACCGTTGTTGCCTCCGTTGTTGTCGCTACCGTTTGAAGCTGATGAACCTGATGATGCTGCTGCTGATGAAGCTGCTGCACTTGATGATCCATTGTTACCGTTGTTGCCTCCGTTGTTGTCGCTGCCGTGTGAAGCTGATGAACCTGATGCTGCTGCTGCTGATGAAGCTGCTGCACTCGATGATCCATTGTTACCGTTGTTGCCTCCGTTGTTGTCGCTACCGTTTGAAGCTGATGCACCTGATGCTGCTGCTGCTGATGAAGCTGCTGCACTTGATGATCCATTGTTACCGTTGTTGCCTCCGTTGTTGTCGCTACCGTTTGAAGCTGATGCATCTGATGATGCTGCTGCTGATGAAGCTGCTGCACTTGATGATCCATTGTTACCGTTGTTGCCTCCGTTGTTGTCGCTGCCGTGTGAAGCTGATGAACCTGATGCTGCTGCTGCTGATGAAGCTGCTGCACTCGATGATCCATTGTTACCGTTGTTGCCTCCGTTGTTGTCGCTACCGTTTGAAGCTGATGCACCTGATGCTGCTGCTGCTGATGAAGCTGCTGCACTTGATGATCCATTGTTACCGTTGTTGCCTCCGTTGTTGTCGCTACCGTTTGAAGCTGATGAACCTGATGCTGCTGCTGCTGATGAAGCTGCTGCACTTGATGATCCATTGTTACCGTTGTTGCCTCCGTTGTTGTCG